AGAAGCACTCCCTAGTAGGCCATGGTCACACCACAGTCCCCTCTCTATTTCTCCATCCTGTCAGGAATTGGGGCACACAAGCACATGTGCCTGGCATGTTTTTCAAGCCACCAGGGCTAGGATTTGAACCATAATTGGCCATGGAGGATCCATGGGCCAACCCAACAGTTCTGTATTTTTAATTTTAGTATTAATAAATGCTGACACATTTCCTACACCACCACAGAAAGTGGCATTGCCGTCAGCAACATGTGAGTATGCATGTATGTGTTTCCCCTTCCCACCTGATGACTTCAGCTCTCTGTCTAGATGGTCAGGGGGTTTTCTTTTTCAAAATTGATGAAATCAGATAACCTTACGAGGCTATATCTCATTGTTGACTATTCTTAGTTATTGTTTAACATGAGACTCTATGCCCTTTCTGTAAATTCATTTTATTTCTACAATATTTTACTAAGAGTATCTTTACATATTTGTTCTCTTCCTTTCCTTTGGTTCTCTTCTTCAGAACCCCAACCGTGAATGTGTTGATTTTCCTTTCCAGACTACCACAGCTGTCATTTTTCTTTGTTCACTCACTTTTCTATCTTGCCCTCTACATTCCATTTCAACTATTTCTTTCTATTCCATTTCTTCTCTTGTGGCTCTGCTGTTTCCAACACGGCCTTTATTTCTATGATTTTGGCAAGCAGCTACCACATTGGCCCGTTCAGCCTCAGAAGAGAACTAAGGCTTACGGGTTTGTTGACTTGACTCATTCCCTTCTCCACGGTGCCGCAAGTCTGCGAGGCATCTCTTAGGAAACCTGAGCCTTTGAAAAAAATCTAAAAGCCACCATGAGGGGTAAATTTCATGCAGATAATGACTAGGAAGTCTATAACCTATGGTTGCAAAGTTAGGGAATCCATCCTACCCAAACTCTATCAAGAGGACTGAATTAATGTACCCTAGGGCACACTGCTAGGATTATACTGGGTTGCTGGAAAAGTCACGATGTGTTTTTGCATAGAAAACGACTCAATAAAATGCTAAAAAATAAAATGCTTTTATGAACTGCATTATAAGAACCGTCTGGAGAAAGCCTATGTGGGTAGAGGTAAGTGTTCTTCCTATAGCCTAGAGAAAGGGTTTTGCTGCGCCGTGAGGGATCTTTGTCTCCAGCACTGTTGTCCCAGAAGCGGAGCGGTGGCTGGCTGATAAGGTAGATCTATCCCTGCAGCAAAAACGGGAGCTCTCAATGTCACAGTTCCTTCATTCTGGACTCGTCATTTTTCTGGCTCTCATTCCAAATTTCCTAATCAGCCTTCGAACAATGTCTGTCTTGAAGAGATTTCCCAGAATGTGCTTACTAAAGGATCCCACTAGCCAGTCCATTTGGCAGACGTATTCTTCACTCAAATTACTAAGCTGGCATCTTGATTAGAATTCAGTTCCTTGCCTGCTGCCCGCCCAATTCCATTTTTGAAAACACTGACAACATGCAGTTTCTGCACCCTGCAGAGTTAAGGCGGGTACACAGGACCATGCTGAGTCTACCAGCACTGATCTAGGACTCCCGAGTACCCAGCTGACCCATAGCTAACACATTCTGGCCTGAGCTAAACTCCTTACCATTTGAGCATTTATAAAAAGACAGGGAAAAAAGGATCAGGGTACGTGAGGCTGGTGAGCACAACAGAACAGATTTCCTAATGTATTCCCCTTCTGCAAAGTGTGTCACTTTCTGTTACATTATGGTGCCACCTCTTGGATAGAAACGGAAAGCCTATCCTAATTTTTTAGTCTCTAAGTCACATGCAGTAACAATCTGAATTTGGGGGCACAGAGGGTTCTAAAATTTATATTCTGTATTACAGTTAAGGAACTACTTAACCAAATCCCCGCAGTCTGTAAGACAGGGATGCTGGTAGCATACAACCCAGGAAACTGCCTCTTAAAAGTTCGTGAGTTTTCAGCTGTTAGTAACTTTAAACACTGCAGAGGTGCCACCTACAACATCTGGTTCTGTCTCTATCCCCTAACAGAGGTGTGGACTGGCCCACAGGAATCAGGAAGCTAATAGCTTCTAGGTCTTCTTTCTTCTTTTAAGGATCTCTGGAGATTCAGAACTACTGGATTTGATCATTGCAAGTTACTACTGGGGAAGAAAATTCAGTAACTTCTAAGAAATTCTAATTAACATTAGATTACAAGTCCTAATTAGTCTATTTTTTGGAGAGGTTTTTGCTATAGGGTGTATGTGCTAGCCAGAAAGAGAGACAGAGAGATAGAAAGTGAGAAATCACCCCCCAGCGGGGATGGCCACACCACAATCCCTTTTCCTTCATTCTCCTCTCGGGATTTTGGGCATTCATGCACTCATGCCTGACGTTGAGTTTAAGTCACCGGATCTGGGACTCGAACCGCAGTCAACTACATGGAAGTCCAGTGACATAGCCATTACAGTAACTGCTGGTCCCATACTCTTTACTTTTTCAAAAAATGTTCAATACAGTGTTTAAAAGATATCAAAAAACACAAAACACTTCTGGATTTATTAATACATAAGCATCAAAAATACAGGGGCAAAAAAAAAAAAAGATTTAAAAGAGGGACCAGCAGTTAGCGTAATGGCTATGTCGCTGGACTCCCATGTGGTCAACCGTGGTTTGAGTCCTGGACCTGGTGGCTTAAACTCACGCTGGGCACGTGTGCATGCATGCCCAAGATCCTGAGAGGAGAATGGAGAAGGGATTGTGGTGTGGCCATCCCCCCGGGGGGTGAATTCTTGCTTTCTGTATCTCTCTCTCTCTCTTACTAGTGAGTGCACGCGCCCTATAGAAAAAAAAATACAAGGGCCAGCAGGTGGGGTAGTGGTTAAGGGCTCTGGATTCCCACATGGCTGGCTGCAGTTCAAGTCCTGAACCTGGTGGCTTGCTTTCTCACTCTCTCTCTCTCTGTCACTCTCTGGTTAAATTTAAATAAACACATACATACATACATGCAAACAAAGTTAAATAAAATAATTCTTAATTAAAAAAAAAAAAAACAAGGTAAGGCTACAAAGCAGTATGAGAGATTTTCCTTTTCTTCTGTCACTTGTAAACTGGATCAGACGGCAGTCCTCAGAATTCCAGAAATGTTGTGGAAATACTGTCATTTAATTTACAATCAGGATAAATGACATTAAACTAAGAGGCAAGGGATCTGGGTTCTGGTTGCCATCCTACACAGTGCGATCTTGAATAATTCTCCCAACATCTTGATACCAGAAGCACCATCACAGAATGAGAGAGGTTGAATCAGAGCATCTTGAATGTCCTTTCCAGCTCTGTTATTTTGTAATGCTGTGGATTCAGAATAACATGTTCCAGGCTGTTTGGGCTCAGGGATCTTAGAGCCTTATTCAATGTAGCATACTTTTTAAATGTCTGCTTTTTTTGAGTCTTATTCTTATTAAAATACAGACATTGATATTCCCCGACCACCACCAGGGGGTTCTGTGTATTTAAATACATGATCCTATATAACAACGATAAAAAATTTTCTTGAGGATGTATTTTTCATTTCTGGCTTTATTTTTTTTCAGCTTCCTTTTTTAATTTATCCAAGACTTCTTCTGGAGTTGTAGAAGCCAAAAGCTTTACCACCTTTTCACGAGATTTACCACCCTAAACCAAAAGGGGAAACACACACTCAACATTCAAATTCTATTAGACACAGCAGGCTTCAGTTGTACCCATCGCAGCCACGTCCTGGGGCGGGCAGAGGGTGTTACAGACGGGCTTCCCTGACGGCTTAAGTACCACTTTCTCATGGCCACTTTCAGTCTCATCAAAGACTGTCTTTTACATTCTATATTAATATACGTTTTTATAACTACTCTCCAGGGCTTTTACCTTATACATCAATTTCTATAATAAAAGCTAGGCATTAACATTTCAAAGTAAATAAATATGGAATCCAGACTTAATTTTAGGCTGGCCCTGTGGCCTAGTGGCTAAGGGAACCAGATTCCACAGTCAATTGTGTGGTTTGAGTCCTGGACCTGATGGATTGAAAAAACAGGAGGGGTGCCTGTGCCTGCCTATACAAAATCCAGAAAGGATTAAAAAAAAAAAAAAAAAAATGGAGGAAAAGGGATTGCGGCATAACCACACGTCAATGGAGGTGCTTTCTTCCTCTCTTTCCTTCTCTGGTGAGCATGTGTGCCCACTAGCCAAAAAAAAAAATTTTTAATTGCACTTTCAAGTAATTCTCTTTAAGTTGAAAATGAAAATCACTTTAAAATATGAAAAAAATACACTTTATATAAAAATAATTCTAAGTGTGAACAAATTGCTATTTTCCATATTGTTACACATTTCTGAAAATCCAAACAAAAGGGGAACCAGCAGTTAGCGTAATGGCTATGTCGCTGGACTCCCACGTAGTCGACCGCGGTTCGTGTCCCGGACCCGGTGGCTTAAAACTCATGCTGGGCGCGTGTGCGTGCGTGCCCAAGATCCCGAGAGGAGAATGGAGGAGAAGGGATTGCGGCGTGACCATCCCCCCTGGGGGGTGATTTCTCGCTTTCTGTCTCTATGTCTCTCTCTGTCTGTCTGGCGAGCGCACGCGCCCTACAGTGAAAATCTCTCCAAAAAAAAAAAAAAGAAAATCCAAACAAAAGCAACCACATATCCAAGTGCTGTGATTTAACAACCACTTAAAACTACTACAGAAAAGGACCAGCAGTTGGAATAATGGCTATGTCGCTGGACTCTCATGTAGTTGACCATGGTTCAAGTCCCAGACCCGGTGGCTTAAACTCATGTCAGGCGTGTGTGCATGCATGCCCAGAGAGGAGAATGGAGGAGAAGGGAGTGCAGCGTGGCCATCCCCCCGGGGGGTGATTTCTCGCTTTCTGTCTCTGTCTGTCTCTGTCTGGTGAGCACACATCCCCTATAGCAAAAAAAACTTAAGAAAGCATTTATTTTCAAACACATCCTTTAAACAAGGTAAAATCTGAGCAGAACTTACGTAGTTAAATAGAATTTGCACACACAAAAGAGTGGGGAGTACCTTTTAGGTGAACATTAGAGCATGACCACTGGCAAAAATCGGAAATGACCTGCCACAGATAGGGAGTGAGGAGAGAAGCAGCCTGATCAGATGGATACTTAGGTGCTGTCTATCAATCAGTGGCTTTGAATGCCAGCTGGAACCTGGAGAGAAGCTAGTGGAAAACAAGTAGAGCTTCGAGAAATATAAACATATATGTCTGCCCCAACTGCTGCATATTCTATTTCAAAAAGCTAAGGTGATTCCAGGAATCTATATTTAGAAAACATTCACAAGTGACTGTGATTCCTACCCCTAATGTAAAACTATCATATTAATGAGTCCATATGAATCGTCCAAGTTCCTAAGGAGCTTCTCCTAGTGAGCGAGGACACTGCAGATCCCAGACACTTCATGGACTCACTCATGGACATGACAAACAACAGGGAACCATGTTAGATTTTTTAGTGTGGCGATGAGTTGAAGGCAGAGTTGAGCAAAATTACCTGATGCAGGTTCCAAAATGATTTTAGAAAGGAGAAAATGCTTGAAATGGTTGCAACAAAGAAATACAGGTAGAGTATGGGCAGTCTGAATGGCAATGAGGCACTAGAAATGAAGACAACTAAATAAATAGGGAGAATTTACAGATTTTTGTGATTAAATGAATATGAGAGTTAAAAATAACGTGTCTCCAATTATTTGAAAAGAAAAAGTATTTTCCAAATTATGAGTGAAATGTAATAATCAAAGACGTTTAAAAAGGAGAGAGGGGGAGAGACCTACCTTGTCCAAAACCACATCACTCTTCCTGACTTCTAGGACCTTGGACAGGTATCGGCAGAGCTCAGCGTTAGCCTCTCCTTCTGTTGGAGGAGCTGCGATAGCGACATTTACAGCTTCAGTTGTCAGATCTGGAATGAAAAGAGTTATTGGTAAGGAGTTCTTGTTCACAAGGGAGGAAATTTTGTAAGGGTTTGCATTTGCACAGATTCTTCATTGACAACTATCTAGTGAAGAAATGAATGATTAATCACACTTGCGGGAATATAAACATACCTCTACCATTACAGAAAATAAATCCAGAGAAAAATCAGTATTTACCTTACACTGCTGACAAAAGTGGGCTGAGAGAGTCCTGGGGGTAGCCTGGATTTAGGCACCTAGAAATCACGTGTTCTGAGAGGAAGGGCTCCAGTAAGGGAGTCAGAGGAGCTGGGCTTCAGCCCAAAGGAGGTCACTGAGGAAGTACACGGACGAGGCAGCTCACGGACTATACATGCCTCTCGAATAATTTTACATTCCACATGCACTTGTGACATGCCTCTTGAATGTTTTCAAAATTTAATGTTTATTAAACATTTACATAGCCCTTAACTACACACTAATTTTAAGCACACACAAATATGTTTTAAGGGCTTTACAAATACTAGCTTTTATAATCCCCTTAATGACTCTATGAAGAAGATATCAGTGCCATTACTATTTCCATTCTACGAAGGAAGAAACTGGAATCAAGAGTAATGTTTCCCATGTCACCTGGCTAGAAAGTGATGTTGTGATTAAAAAACAAATTACAATTTATGATTTAAACTCTAGGGACAAAGAGAGTTGTGTGTGTGTTTTTAAAGAATTACTCTATTTAACTTTATTTTTAATTTGACCAGAGAGGGACAGAATGAGAGAGAAAGAGAGAAAGTGAGAAAGCAAGCTGCCAGGTCCACGACTCGAACCACGATCAACCACATGGGAGTCCAGTGCCCTTAACCACCATATCGCCTGCCAGTCCTCTGAGAGTTGTTTTGAAAGAGTGGTCCTGACTCCTGCATCAATACAGCCTTTAAAAGAGCAGCCTGGGGACCAGCAGTTAGTGTAATGGCTATGTTGCTGGATTCCCATGTAGTCGACCGCGGTTCGCATCCCGGACCCGGTGGCTTAAAACTAACGCCGGGCGCGTGTGCGTGCGTGCCCAAGATCCCAAGAGGAGAATGGAGAAGGGATTGTGGCGTGGCCATCCCCCTGGGGGGTGATTTCTCACTTTCTGTCTCTCTGTCTCTCTCTGTCTGGCAAGCATACGCGCCCTATAGCAAAAACCTCTCCCCCCAAAAAAAATAAATAAATAAAAAATAAAAGAAGGATATGTCAAACACAGGTGGCTTAACGTGGCCATTAGCACAAATCCGGCCCCGCATACCAATTCTGGGATCTTTTTTCAAAATATAAACACAGTTTAAAATAGGGGCTTTCAAGGTAAAGAAGACCTGGATAATTTGGATCAATTTTTTTAAAAAAAAAGAATTATTTTATTTAATTTTACTTATTCATTCATTTATTTTATTTTAATTTGACCAGAGAGGGACAGAGAGAGACAGACAGACAGACCGACAGAAAGTGAGAAAGGAAGCTGCCAGGTCTGAGACTGGAACTGTGGTCAGCCATGTGGGAATCCAGTGCCCCTAACCACCACACCACCTGCCAGCCCTGGATCAATGGTTTCTAAGCTTTTCTCTTTGAGAACTCCCTTTCCCTCTAGTTCTCTACAGAATCCCAACATTTAAAACAAATGTAAACACAGCTACTCAGGAGTCCTGTCTGCCTCGCCTCCTCTTTGCCCCAAACAGAGATTCCTGAGGCATTTCTGGGGCTTCAGGACATAGCCTGAAAGTCTCTAACTTAGTTTAGCTACCCCACATGACAGATTTTTTTTTTTAAGGTACAGAAATGTTTTACATTGTTTTGATTTAAAATAAATACACACAAAAATTGATCAGGCATCTCAGACCTCAGGTATTCGCTCCTTTCTTAGAACAGCGACAATCAAACTAGATCTAAAACTTCCTCTCTTGAATGGGACAAATTCAAAATAATCTAGGTGACACATGTTTCTACATGTACCCTCTCTAAAATAATCTTAAAAAGGAAAATAAAACAATGGTTTTCATCTAGCTTGACATCATTTTAGTATATTTTCTCAAACACCTTTACATTAGAATCTAAACTATTAAAATGGAGAAGGCCGGGGGCCAGCAGGTGGTATGGTAGTTAAAGTGCTGGACTCTCACATGGCTGACCGCAGTTAAGTCCCAGACCTGGTGGCTTGCTTTCTCAATTTCTCTCTCCCTTTCACTCTGTCCCTCTCTTGTCAAATTAAAATAAATAAATAAACTCAAAATACAATTATTGGGAAAAAAAAAAAAAAAGGAGAAAGCCTCTAACTGCAACTGTGAAAAATCTATTTGAGTGTCACAGGATAAACTTTCAGCTACCTAAGACAAAGGGAGGATGGGTGGAGGGAACACACGATTCATGTAAGACTCTCATCCCGGGGTCCAGATATACCTGTTACTGCATTCTGCTTGGAGCCAGGTTTCGCGTGAATGGCTATGGTGACACAGCCTTTAGGATCAACAGCCACTGGACCTAAAGGAGGAGGTGATCTCTCTGGTTCCTTGTTCTGGCTTTTCCCCTAAAATGACAACCAGCACACAACTTTACTGGTTACCAAATATTTTCCACACGTTTAATTTTATCCTTCCACTACTCCCTTTTACCTTTAACTAAGACCAGACTAAGCTAGTCTGTTGTGTTCTGGGATTTTTTTGGTCCCCTGAAATGCTTTGTCCCTACCCTTCGAAGATTCAAATCAATTCTACTGTGAAACCTTCCCATCAACCCCAACGGTGTCTTTTTCGGCCTTGGAAGAAGACCTGCTCTGGCTTCCACACTTAGTGCTGGCTCCTACTGTCTGCTTTGCACTTCCGATTCCTCGGGGGCAGGAAGCATTTATTGCTGATCCTTGTATGCCATGCTGAACTGCTGGCAAGTCTGTGAACTACCACATCTGCAAGTGTGGATGTGTGTGTGTGGAAAAGAACGAACGATAGTGCAATCATGATATTAAAGGGCCTCCTGTATGACAGAGATGTTAGGAGCTTAAATTCATTGAACAAATATGAACTAAACACCAGGGCAGTATGCGGGATCTGCAGAGGAGGGAGAACAAACGGAATGACGGTCTGCGGGGTTGAGTGCACCGGTGGGACTCGCACAGTACTGCTGCACCGACACCTGGGACGCTGCCGGCAGGAGGCAGAGCTCGAGTTGAGCTGAGAAACGGGTTGGAGTCGAGCAGGGATGGTGGAGGAGATGTGGGGGGAGAGGTGTATTCTTAGGAGGGCTGCGACCAGCTCGGCTTAGGTCGAGAGCCTCCCAGGGAAGCATGGACCCCGCGCTGCTGCGAGTTGAAGGGCCAGCTGAAGCCGAGGCCGAGGGGTCAGCAGAAGCGGCGCAGAGAGCCCCGTGAGGCGCCGGGCCGGCGCTCCGACTTCCCCCGGGTGTAGGGGCGAAGGTAGCAGGTGCCCAGGTATGGGGTTCGAGGCGGCGGTCCCGCCCGAGAGCTGAGACAACCAGCTGCTGGCGCTGCCTCCACCCACCCGCGGGTCCCGCGTCCCCAACGAGCGGCCCAATGGTCCACCCTCTCGCCGCCACAGGGCTGGCCCCTAGGCCCTTTCTTAGGCATCTCGGCGCCACGAGGGAGCCGAACACAGGCCCGAGCCCGGGGCCCCTCCCGAACCCGCCTCAACGGGAAACCCAACCCGAGCATCCCCGCCTGGGGAGGCGGCACGAGGACGGCCAGCGCCGGAAGAACCCTCTGCGCCTGCGCACCCGGGGGTAGGCGTGGCTCGCGCCTACACTCGCTGCCGCTGAGAGCGACACCTGGCGGCCGGAGGGAGCGAGGACCCTCCAGAACTTGCTCCCTGGAGACGGAGAGAGGAAGCTGGGGTCTTGTTGCGTCAAGGCCCACCACTCGAGGCTGGTGGGAAGGTGTTGTCACTGCTGGTATTTTCTTTCTTCATCGGAGAAAAAAGGAAATTATGTGACTTCTGAGGACTAGAGTGAGCTGAGATGCGCTGGGCCAGGGGTCGCACTGCAGCAGCCACCCAGCAGGTGCAGTCACCCCCCCACACACACACTCCCACCTACCCCTGCTTCCTATGGGCCTAGTCAATACGGAACCTCTAGCTGTCTTGGCCCTTGGGGACATGTGCCAGGAGCACAGGATCTCACACTGTAACTGCGACATGGGGAGCGAGACATGAAACCTAAGTCAGCAGAAGCAAGATTCATGGAGTCGTCAAAGGTTTTGAAGCTAAGGATTTGCACAACTCAATCTGCTGTTTTGGATCACTGGCTGCAGGGCCAGCAGAAGGCATGGCGGGAAAATCACACCCAGCGCGTGTGTGTGCACGTGTGCCCAAGATCCCTGAAGGAGAATGGACAAGACGGATGCTTCACGGCTATCCCCCCAGGAATGAGTCCTGGCTTTCCCTAGCAGTCTCTCTCAGGCGAGTGCAGGCACCCTAAGGCAAAAACCTCTCCAAAAAAGATCACTGGCTACAGCCTGGTCAAAAGAAATGGCCCAGCAACAGCAATGTCTTCCACCTTGATGGGAGGTGGTGGCGTGAACTGAGTAGTGGCATCGCGATGGACAGCCGGCCATCTCCAGCGTACTTAGGAACCAGAGCTGTCGAAACTTGGCAGGTGACTGGATTTGGGAATGAGTGGAGAGCTTGGGGCCTGAGAAACGAGTTGGGGAGTCTGAGGTGAGGAGTCAGTTTTGGCAATACTGAGTCTGAGACCCCTGTCGGACATCCACGTAGGAGGACGGGGTTATTTAATACATGTAACTGAAGCTTGAGAGGCGTAAGCAGGTGATAACAGATTCTGGAGTTGAAAATGGGTGAAAGGGGGAGAGTGCAGAGCACCAGGGCTCAAAATAGAACTCTGAGGACCAGCAACTGGCATGGTGGTTATGGGTCCTGGACTCCCACATGGTCAACAGCAGTTTGAGTCCCAGACCTGGCAGCTTGCTTTCTCACTTTCTCTCTCTCATTCTGTCCCTCTCTGGTCAAATTAAAACCAGTAAGTAAATAAATGTCTTTAAAAAACAAAAACAAAAAACAGAACCCTGAAGGCAGGCAGAGAAGTGGCCGAGAACATTGGCTGGCGGTAGGAGTATGGTGCAATGGCAGCTGGAGGACCTTGCTTCAAGATGGACTAAGGAAGGGACTGGACGACTGGGTTTGGACAGCTGTCCACATGGACACTGAGGCCACTCAGTATGAAGACTTGGGCAGGGGAACGCCGAAACTATATTCTTGGACAACAGTTAAGTGAAGAGGCACAGAAGCTCACGTAGGATTATAAAGCAGTTATTTTCAAATTCCTCTTGAGCGGTCTTGAGCCTCGATTAGAGCTTTGACAATTGAATGGAAACAGGGACACATATGATGGTGAATGATTAATGGCATCCGACAGGTGGCTAGATGGGTACGTGGAGAAGAGGTGCCCTGCCAAGAACTAGTCAGCCTTTCCTACAGGGGCTCAGCGGTGGGGGTATGAGGATGCCCCACCATCTAGAGGGAAAAACCATCAGCCCTCTGCCACTAGAACTGAGCACCAGAGACTTGCCGCTGCCTAAATCTCTGCCTCACACCATCCAGAAGGGAAAAGCCATCAGGCCTCCGCCACCAGAACTGAGCACCAGAGACCTGCTGCTGTCCAAGTCTCTGCCTCTGGAAGGGAAAGACAGGCAGAGTGGGAAGAAACCGCTACGGGTGGGAAAACGGGGACTATGAACAAACGGCAGAAATGCCATCGGAAATGTTTGTGCTGGTTCTCACCTTCCCTTCCTTCAGCTGGATGTAGTGTTCCGTGTAGTAACTCCATCTTAGTCTTGCCAATAAAGAAAACAGAAAAGGAATTTTAAAAGCAAACAAACTAAGGGCTGGCAGGTGACATGGTGATTAAGGGTGCTGGACTCCCACATGACTGACCACAGTTCAAATCCTGGGCCTGATGGCTTTCTTTCTTACTTTTCCCCTCCCTCTCACTCACTCTGTCCCTCTTTGATCAAATTAAAACAAATGAAGTTAAATAATTCTTTTTTTTTAAAGTTATTTTTCTTTTCTTTCTTTCTTTTTTTTTTTGGAGAGATTTTCGCTATAGGGCGTGTGCGCTCGCCAGCCAGACAGAGAGAGATATAGAGACAGAAAGCGAGAAATCACCCCCCAGGGGGGATGGTCACGCGCAATCCCTTCTCCTCCATTCTCCTCTCGGGATCTTGGGCACGCACACACACATGCCCGGCGTGAGTTTTAAGCCACTGGGTCCGGGACCCGAACCGCGGTCGACTACATGGGAGTCCAGCGACATAGCCATTACGCTAACTGCTGGTTCCCTTTTCTTTTTTTAAAGCGTACAAACAAGAGAGTAAGTGCACCATGGATCTCTGGGGCTGGATGGAGGTGAGGGGCTGGGGTAACTCTGATACCCTCACTCTTGTGAAGGATGTATTTTGTCTGAGTTGGGGACAATTCCCAAGTTTTGAATCTGGATGATTACAACAGAGAAGAAAGTGGTTAGCTAGAAGGTACTAGAAAGGGAAATAGAAACAGTAAGTTTTAGACATATTGCATTTACTATATCGCATTTGAAGACCCCACTCTCTCTAATGTTCTATAATTACCATGTAATTTGGTGGTAAAGGCGCTAGACTTTCACATGATTGACCATGGTTTGAGTCCTGGACCTGGTGGCTTGCTTTCTTGCTTTCTGTCTCTGGTGAGTACAAATTAAAAACAAAACAAAACAAACGAAAACAAAACAAAACATAGTAAACAATAAAATAAAATAAATGATTCTTAAAAAAAAAAAAAAACACAATGGGACCAGCAGATAGCATAATGGTTACATCACTGGACTCCCACGTAGGTTCGAGTCCCAGACCTGGTAGCTTAAACTCACACTGGGCACGTGTATGTGCGTGCCCAAAATCCTGAGGGGAGAGTGGAGAAGGGATTGCGGCATGCCTATCCCTGGAGGTGGGGAGGACGGGGGGAGTGGGAGGGTGGGCATCTCTGTCTCTCCAGCAAGCACACGTACCCTATAGCAAAAAAAAACTTTCTTAAAAAAAAAAAAAAAAAAAAACACAAAACTATAGGTACTATTTCCATGGACCTGAGAGAAAAACAATTTGTCAATGCAATAATCTCAATCTGTTAGGTAGATTCTAGAATATCATACTTTCTTAAGATGGAAACTATATTCTACAGTAAATACAGGTTAATCAAGTAGCTTTAGGGATTTTACTATACAATTTGAGAATGAACATTTTTTTTTGTTTTATTTTATTTATTTATTCATTTATTTTTTAATTTGACCAGAGGGAGACAGAGAAAGAGAGAGAGAGAGAGAGAAAGTGAGAAAGCAAGCCACCAGGTCCAGGACTTGAACCGTGGTCAGCCATGTGGGAGTGTCCAGCACCTTAACCACCACACCACCTGCTGGTCCCAAGAATGGACATGTTCTTGAACCAGCAAGAGTTTCTTGATTTTGTAGCATGAGAAGTAGAAATGGGTTTCAATTCCACCTTCCACTGGCCATTGAAAACACTGATTTATCTGTGAAATGGGTATTACAATAGTATTTACCTCATAAATGATGCTATGAAAACGAATAATATGTATAAAGTTCTTAGTGCACGGCCTGGTACATGGTAGCTATTGTAATTAAAGAACAATTACGAAATGACTGTGACACTCTTAACAGTAAGTGCCAAGGTTATTTCCGGTATTCTTTCACATTCTGCATTCTCTACCCCTTGAGATTAGAATACAGGAGAAAAACCTGAGACCACAGAAAATGACCACAAAACAGATGGCAGCAGTGGTTGTTACTGCTGTTACTATGAACTGCTTTAAAGTAGCAATTTGCCATTCTTCCCCTCCCTTTTTTTAGGGGGGTGGGGGGGGCTGTAGGGCCCATGCACTTGCCAGACAGACAGAAAGCAAGAAATCAACCCCCAGGGGGCATGGGCACGCTCTAAGCCCTTCTCCTCCATTCTCCCCTCGGGAGTTTGGGCACGCATGCACATGCGCCCGGCGTGAGTTTCAAGCCACTGGATCTGGGACTTGAACAGCAGTCAACAATGTGGGAGTCCAGCCACATAACCTTACGCCATCTGCTGGTCCCAGCATTCTTATTTTGTATTGCGTTCATAAGTTAAAAATAGTTAAATCTCAATTAACTAGAACTTCTGTTCCAAAATGGTGCTCTTACAGTCAACTTTTAGAAGAAAAAGACAAATGATGAAAATACAAGAGGATGATAGACATTTATTTTTAAAAATCCCAGGGGATGCCCCAGTGTCAATGAACAGTTCTGCTTCCTGTAGCTTCAATGGCTACACTCAATTACGATCCTTCAGTTCAGAACACTTGAGGCCTCAGACATCAAAAAACACCTCACTTATCTCTGGCATACCATACTTTTCAAGGCAGACGTACTTTCTATACTGGTTAGTACGGAGTGTTTACTGGTTAATGCTTCAAGTTAACCAGGCCATACCTTCCAGTTAACTGAGGTTTATACTCCTTAGGACCTGGGTCCAGACAGAAAAATTTCCCTTTTACTGAGCAATGCTGAGACCTCAGCCACCTCCAACACATCTCGCTACAGTCTTGAAAATATAAAGTGACACATTACCTCAGATAAAAATTTTTACATCCCAATTACTATTTAGAAAAAAATCTTCTTTAAGTTCATTCTTAGAAGAATTTTGATTTTTAATCATCCTCCACAGTATTTGATAACCTTTAGTTTAATTACACTTAAGTATTTAAGGGAAAAAAGTGAATGTTAATTCATTTATATAAAAAAATTTGCTTTATAAAAAAGTGTATAAATGTCATTCTGCCACATACACTTTCTATCCCTCCCTACAACAGATATACCAGTTGACATTAATGAGGTCACGGTTATCAAACATATTTTGCTTCTTGGATAGAACTGTGTAGGTAACAGAAGGCATACTTCTCAGCACGAGTGATTCTGTTGGACAGTTTAAAATTTTCAGGCTGATGTTAGAAATGTATTACTATTGTATTCAATGTCTTGCTGTGTAAGATTATCACAACACTGAAGCAATGTCTGTTTACACAATCGCCACCACCATCACCTCCATCCTGGCAAGTATCACAGCATGGCTCTCAAGTTAGATGGCTCCTGCAGGGCAGCCCAGTGATAAAGAACCCATCTGAGATGGCGCCTTTGATCCTTGGTTTCTGTCCCATTATTGTGAATTTATATAAACTCCACTTATAGTTTGAAAACTGTACTATGTAACACATTACTATACTATTACAAAATACCCTTTTCTATAAATGCACTGAAAATTTTCTTGGGCATTAATTAGGCCTATTTTTAGCATTATTCCAAATGTTAACAACCAGGTATTTCAGAACCCAAATATAAAGTCAGCTTTCTTAATTTTCTGAAATCAGTTATGTGAGTTAATAGGAATTCTGTACAAATACTAACCCATCTCATCTCATATAACCTTCAAAACAGCTAAGCCTATTTGCCCCCTCATCTAACCTTTAAAATAGTTAAAACAAACAACAACAAAAAAAAACCCAGCTATATATAACAAGAATCTTTCAATTCCAAACTATTGAAAGACCATGAGTCAGCTGATCTATGAAATTATACAAGAGGAAGTTGAAATAACTGTGCTTATTTTAAACAATTAAACCCAGTTCTCTTCCCCCTAAAGTTGTAAGAAAATGGAAAATTTGCCTTTAAATCATGCAGATTTAAATCAACATTTTTCTATCTCTTCTAAGAAACTAAAATGTTTCTTTTCTTACAATTATAAATATTCATAACACACAAACTATTTTTGTGACCAGTTAATTTATGCCTTTGAGACTAGACTGCATGGAACTATTCAGCCAAGATATATTATGTGCTTAATTATGTATAAAATATGATTTCTGGTATCTGTCCGTCTTCTATTGAAGTGCCATTGTTATTGCCAGGGGAACTAAAAAAGAAAAAGAGAGTCTTGCTCGCAGCAGGAGTTTCGTGCACCACTTTCTTCAGTCCCTTGGTGCCATAGTGAGAATCTGGACCCTAAGCAGAACAAAAGGCGCGTTAGTGATTTTCACGTAATAAGTACTCAGTTCAGTGTAGTGTTTTAATTAGATTAGTAGTCCATTATATTTCATCACAGCTCATAAACACAATTTTATGCTAAGTCACTTCGTGAAAAATGAAGTTTCTGCTAAAAAGTTAATTTGTGAGTAAAAATACTAATGTACAGTTCAGCTATTAGAGAAGGTTTTAAGAAAATTATTATTGGGGGCCGGCAAGTGGCATGGTGGTCAAGGGCGCTGAATTCCCACGTGGCTAACCGTGGTTCGAGTCTCAGATCTAGCAGCTTGCTTTCTCACTTTCCTTCTCTCACTCTGTCCCTCTTTGGTCAAATTAAAATAAATAATAGATAAAGTTAAATAAAATAATTTTTCTAAAGAAAATTATTATTGAGCCAGCAAGTGGCACGGTGGTGAAAGGCACTGGACTCCCACATGTGGGCCGATTGCAGTTCAAGTTCCAGGCCTGGCAGCTTGCTTTCTCACTTTCTTTCTCTCTCTGGGTAAATTTAAATAAATAAATAAAGTCTTAAAAACTATTATCATCTTTTGTCAAACATTCAATTTCCTTCTCAAACAAAGGGCTGGTTCTTATGAAGAATTTCTGCTCTCAGGACACAGCTGGGCTGAGAATCACTTCTCTTCCCACAACACTGGAGTAGTTGAGCTCCGAGGGTCCCTTCTCCCTCTTTGTAAAAAGCGCTACTGTCATTGAACCTCAGCTTCCAACACATGCTTTCTGTAACATTCGAGAGGAAACCACTGGCCACAGAAGCGCACCACCCGGAACATTCTGAACGACTTACTTTGAGTGTTGCGCATGCCGTGTAGCAGACGTTGGGCAGGATCTCAATAGGTTCTTTGAACATGACCCTGAATGTGTTCGCGGTCCCATCACAACTAAATCCGGTGTCGTTTTGTCCAAGAGTCTGTTTTTTTTCATATTCAATGATCTGTTCATTTTTAAACAAGAAGTTACATTTAAATCAAACCATAGTAATGTATGCTAATGCTTTTGTGACTGACTCTTATTTTCTGAAACGAGATTTGTGTTTTAGATCAACCATAAAACAGAATCCTCTAGGCTTAAAATGCTACTAATGGGGGGCCAGCCAGTGGCATGGAGGTTAAGGCAGCTGGATCCCACACAACCAACTCTGTGGTTTGAGCCCAGGATCCATTAGCATAAAAATCATGCTGGGCACACGTGCTTTCATGCCCAAAATCCTGAGAGAAGAAGAGAGGAGAAGGGACTGTGGTGTGGCCCTCCTTCACCCTGCCCTTCCAAGCAAGTGCATGCACACTATAGCAAAACTGGAAGGAAAAAAAATGCTACTGATGGGCTTTCTGATCCCTTTGATAATTATACAGAGATGCGTATCTCTATAAAAATAATATCATGTAATATGGGAGGAAAAGTGTACCTGTATATTCACTTGATAATCCGTGGGACCATGAATAGATCCATATAAGCCAAATCCGACTATAGAGATTCTTCTATTAACAGTGAATCTGAGAGAAAGAAGCCAAATGTAAAAACATAATTCTACAAGCGTTCATATTCTCAAGGTTCATAATTTGTTATCCATATCCAGAATGTCTAATTTTGCTACTAAAGTAAACACGAAAGCTATCACAAAAACAGATAAACTTAGAAAGGTCATCTGTTGGGACCAGCGTAATGGCTATATCACTGGACTCCCATGTAGTTGATTGTGGTTCGAGTCCCGGACCCAGTGGCTAGAACTCACACCGGGTGCGTGTGCGTGCGTGTCCAAGATCCTGAGAGGAGAAGGGAGGAGAAGGGATTGTGGCATGGCCATCCCCCCGGAGGGTGATTTCTCGCTTTCCCCCCCCCCTCTCTCTCTCTCTCTGTCTTTCTGGTGAGTGCATGCGTCCTATAGCTAAAACCTCACCCCCGCCTCACAAAAAAAGAAAGGTCATCTGTTTGCTTATTAAAAAACAAGTTTCTTTCTGGACTAAATCTGAACTTCTAACAGGAACCTAAGTAGGACCTGTTTTCTGTACTGTAAACAGAACTGATTTGGGTTATAATGCTTCTTCCACTGCTGTGCTCGTCCAGGTGTGCCCATGGACCCATTCACGAAGGCAGGCACGCCAGCCATCAGGACTGAAGCCCAGCACCCCCACCTACAGCAATCCCTCAGTTCTACACACATCAAAGGCCCTTCCTATGTAGGTACTGGGGAGAAGATGGTCAATGAGACACAGTTTCTATCCACAAGGTTTATAGCCTCACGGAGGACACCCGTAATAAACAAGAAAGTAGTAAATAAATAATTATCCATTGTGATAGGAGGTGGGGAAGAAGCAGGGTGGTGTAACGGAGAGCCGCGGTGGTGGAGGGCAGGGCATGACCTGATCTATACAGGTGGGTTTGACTGCGGATCCCACATCTAGAATTATAATCACTGAGTCTGGTTTGGTTGTAAAGTTAAGAAATATTCCTCCATGTTAAAAAATGCATAAAACTGGGATGAAATACCCTTGGAACGTCAGGACCGCACAGATCATCTGTAACGTGGAACCAGCCTGCTCACCTTGTTACTGCCGCCCCGCCACCCCACTGGACGAGTACCTCCTGATGGCCGGTGCTGAGCTTGCATTCTTTTTTTCTTTTATTTTAAGAATTATTTCTTTAATTTAACTTTGTTTATTATTTATTTTAAATTGACCAGAGAGGGGCAGAGAGAGAGAGAGAGAAAGTAAGCCGCCAAGGTCCAGGACTTGAACTGTGGTAGGCCGTGTGGGAGTCTAGTGCCCTCAAGCACCATACTACCTGCTGGCCTCTTGAGCTTTTATTCTTTACATTATTTCCTTTAATCATCGTAACAGCCCTAAGAACTAGGTAACAGTATTTATTAACCTAAGTTTTTGTAGTTAAAGAAAATGAGCTTTAGAAAAATTAACTTTCTCAAGTTAAAAATGTGGCAGAGTTGAGACACTCAAGCAAGACTGTTTGGATCAAAAGCCCATATGTCTTGGAGCCAGCAGGTAGTGTGGTGGTTAAGGTACTGGACTCCCATATGCCAGCTCTGGTTCGAGTTCCGGACCTGGCACCTTGCTTTCTCACTCTCTCTCTGGTGAGCCTACGAAAAATAATAAATAAAATTAAACAATCCTTTAAAAAAAAAAAAAAAAAGAGGCTCTTAACTACCAAACCATTTAAAAAAAAAAAAAAAAAGAGGCTCTTAACTACCAAGCTAAACACCTAGTATAGCAAGAGGACCAATGTAAAATTTTAAAAACATTATTTATACCAGCTTCTCTGATTAAAAAAGGCAATTTATTCTACCAAAAAAAATCAGGAAATGCAGCTCAACAAGCAAGACAAAAATTTAAAGAATCCATAAATCCAGAGACAGGGACCAGCAGTTAGTGGAATGGCTGTCACTGGACTCCTATGTAGTCGACCACGGTTTGAGTTCTGGATCCGGCAGCTTAAACTCACACTGGGCGTGTGCGTGCGTGCCCAAGATACCGAGAGGAGAAAGGAGGAGAAGGGATTGCGGCATGGCCATTCCCCCTGGGGGGTGACTTCTCGCTTTCTGTCTCTCTGTCTTTCTGGCGGGGGGACAAGGTCCCCTAAAGCAAAAACCTCTCAAAAAAAAAAAAAAAGAAAATCCAGACATAAACCTTTTTAACCCTTTGGATTTCTTCTTCAGACCTTTTTCTAGGAACATAAATGTATTCTTTTAAAAATCATAACAAGAAATGGAGCCAGCAGGTGGCACGGTGGTTAAGGGCACTGGACTCCCACATGACCAACTGTAGTTCGAGTCTTGGACCTGGTGGCTTGCTTTCTTGCCTTCCCTCTCTCTTGCTCTCTGGTCAAATTAAAGAAAGGAAGAAAGTGGGAACCAGCAGTTAGCGTAATGGCTATGTCGCTGGACTCCCACGTAGTCGACCGCGGTTCGTGTCCCGGACCCGGTGGCTTAAAACTCACGCTGGGCACGTGTGCGTGCGTGCCCAAGATCCCGAGAGGAGAATGGAGGAGAAGGGATTGCGGCGTGACCATCCCCCCTGGGGGGTGATTTCTCGCTTTCTGTCTCTATGTCTCTCTCTGTCTGTCTGGCGAGCGCACGCGCCCTATAGTGAAAATCTCTCCAAAAAAATAAAAATAAATAAAAATAAAAAATAAATAAAAAAAAAGAAAGGAAGAAAGTTAAATAATTCCTTTTTTTTTTAAAAAAGGTATTTTTGTACCAGCTTTTTCATGTACTATAATAAAAAAAATTACTGCTAATTAATGACATTTTACTAAATCCTTTGTTGAATAGTCCAAATTCCTTGTAGTTTTTATTATTATGTAACAATGCTGTGATATATAATCTTAAAGCCAAATAATTTTACAAAGCCTTAATTATTTTCCTTAGAATGATTTTTTAGAAGTAGAACTGCTAGTGAAAAATGAAAGGCATGGGGCCAGTTTGTGGCGTGGTGGTTAGAGGCACTGGATTCCCACAAGGCCAACAGCAGTTCGAGTCCTGGACCTGGCAGCTTGCTTTCTCACTTTCCCTTTCTCTCTCTCTCTGTCCGGTCAAATTTAAAAATTAATAATAATAACAAATGGGATTAAATAAAACAATTCTTAAAAAGAAAAAAGTAAAATGAAAGGCATGTTTCTTTCTTAGAAAAAAAATTCTGCCATAGAGTATCTGCACTCATCTGACAGATAGAGACAGGGAGAGGAAGAAAGCATCCTCCAACAGGGAAAGGTCACGCTGCCATCCCCCTTCACCTCTCCATCTCATCAGGATTTGGGCATGCAGTACAGCAGTCTCCACATGGGCTTGGGCTCCCTTAACCAACAGACGACAAGCCTGGCCCAAAGGGCACGTTCTTAAGGCTTTAGATAAACATTGCCAAATTGCTTTCTGGAAAGAGCACTTCATACCCCATAAGGAATAAGGGTCATGTCTGTCTCACTCTTACCAACTGTGAGTATTTTAATTTCAATTTGTCTTTGAGAAATTGATGACTGGCATACTCTATACTTCTTTGATTAGTAACAAGGTGAAACATTTGCTCATGTACTTACTGTCCACTGGGTTTTCTTTCTTTTTTTTTTGAAATATGGAATGCTTCACGAATTTGCATGTCATCCTTGCGCAGGGGCCATGCAAATCTTCTCTGCATCGTTCTGATTTTAGTATATGTGCTGCCGAAGCGAGCACTCCACTGGATTTCCTCTTTATGAAATAGCACCCCTGTTCTTTTCTCATTTTTCTCTATTGGTGGGTTTGTTTTAAATATAGGTTTGTGAAAGCATATTACATATAGATTATGATTATATATATACTTTGCTGGTAATAGCCAAGATGAAAAAGTTCCCTATTTGCCACTATTTTAACATGATGATGATTTTAGACACAAAGGTTGAATGATGTGTAGTCGAATTACGATCTATGCTAAAGTTGGCGAGGCCACAGTGAACAAATAGCACCTGTTCTAGCACTTTCATGGTCTCATTTGGTTTAATGTTAAAATTTTAATTTATATCGGGACCAGCAGATGGCGAAGCAATTATGTCTCTGGACTCCCACATAGATGACCGTAGTTCAAGTCCTGAACCCGGCGGCTTAAAACCCATGCTGAGCACGTGTCCGTGCATGCCCAGAATCCTGAGAGGAGAATGAACTGCGGAGTGACCATCCCCCAGGGGGGTGATTTCTTACTTTGTCTCTCTCTCTCTCTGATGAGCACACATGCACTATAGCAAAAATCTCTCTTTTAAAAACGGAATTAATTTATATAAATACCAGTACATTGGATCAGCAAAGATCTAACTTTATATTCCTTTTCATCACATTCTTTTTTTTTTAATTTGCTATAGGTTACATGCACTTGCCAGAGAAAGACAGAGACAGAGAGCGAAAGTAAGAACACCTCCCCATAAGGAATGGTCACACTGCTATCCTCCTCCTCCGTCTCATCTTCTTTTTGAGACTTTGGGTTGGCACACATGCACATATATGTCAGGACCAGCATTTGGCATAATGGCTATATCACTGAACTCCCACGTAGTCAACCGCAGTTCAAGTCCCAGACCGGGTGGTTTAAACTCACACTGGGTACATGTGCCCAAGATCCCGAAAGGAGAATGGAGGAGAAGGGATTGCAGTGTTCCCATCCCCCCGGAGTGTGATTTCTTGCTTTCTGTCTCTGTCTCGCTCTGTCTTCCTGGCGAGTGCACATGCGCTATAGCAAAAACCTCTCCAAAACAAAACAAAACAAAACATGTACACATGTGCCAGGTGTGTTTTTTAAGCTACCAGGTTCAGAACTCAAACCACACCGTCAACCATGTGGGATTTAGCTGTCCTGACCACTGTGCCACTAGCCAGCCCAAAATTACTCCTAATATTATGGTTAGGGGCCACGAAGCGGCATGGACTCCCACATGGCCGACTGTGGTTTGAATCTTGGACCTAGCAGCCTACTTCCTCACTTTCCCACCCTCTCTCTATATATATCAAATTAAAAAAGTAATAATGATGAATAAAATGAAATAATTATTAAAAAATAATATTACAGTACTATTCAATACATATATAATGTATAATACTATTATAGTAACATTTAATATTATGGATAGTAATATTTTATAATATTCTCTTTTTAAGTTATTGTTTTATTACAATACTTAATGGTTATTTAATATTACAACTACATTTGTTCACATTTAAAATTTATTTTTTTACTGGGGGCATAATGGCCATGTCGCTGGACTCCCATGCAGTCAACCATGCTTCAAGTCCCAGACCTGGTGGTTTAGACTCAAACCGGGTGAGTGTGTGTGCGTGCCCAAGATCCCGAGAGGAGAAAAGAGGAGAAAGGATTGCGGTGTGGCTATCCCCCCTGGGGGGTGATTTCTTGCTTTCTGTCTCTCTGTCTCTCTGGCAAGTGCACGTGCCCTACAGCAAAAACCTGTTCAAAAAAAGAGAGAATTAAATTTGATGGATTTGTGAAATACTAATGTACATAATGTCACCTGTAAATACCAAAAAAGGCCTCTTGGGACCAGCGGTTAGCGTAATGGCTATGTCACTGAACTCTCATGTAGTGGACCGCGGATCAAGTCCCGGACCCAGTGGCTTAAATTCATGCCAGGCGCGTGTGTGTGAGTGCCCAAGATCCCGAGAGGAGAAGGGATTGCGGTGTGGCCATCCCCCCGGGGAGTGATTTCTCGCTTTCTGACTCTGTCTCTCTAGCGAGCACACACGCCCTGCAGCAAAAATCTCTCCAAAAAAAAAGGCCTGTTAATATTTGAATCTCTGATTTCTTCATTTATATGACATGAATGAGAATTATAATAATCCTGAAAAACAGTAAGGAGAGTAGGTATTCCTCTTTTGATGTCTCAATAGTCTATTCGTATTAAAGAAATATTCTTCTAGACCTAATCTAATAGTTATATCTGAAATGCAGGCAAAATGTCATCAAAAGCCTTTTTGACAGCTATTAAAATCAACTTGTTCTTTGATCTGCTACTTTGATAAATATTAATACAGTTCCTAACACTGATCCATTCTTTAGTCCTCCAAATATACTATATTTGCTCATACAGTATTATTCTTCTAAATACTGCCAATTTAATGCTACTTGGTTGTCAGAAAAATCATGACACGTTTTTGCATAGAAAAACAAAAAATACATCATGATTTTTCTGACAACCCAATTATTATTTAACACAGAATTTCTTCTTCTAATGTACTGCATGAGGTTGATACCGTATATTTGCTGTCTTGTCAGAGTCCTATATGAGGATTATACTGCTCCCTTCAATACTTAACCAGGAAGTATTTTCTTCTTTTACTGCTCAAGGGAACTATCAGTTCCTTGAAGGTTTGCTCAAACTCACCTGTAAAAATCACCTTGAGAAGGGACAGTTCTTTGATAACTTTTAATTCCTTCCATGGTAATTGTTCTACTCGGGCTTTCTTCTTCAGTCAATTTGATAATTTATATTTGCCTATAAAATGATCCATTCCATCAAGATGTTCAATTTATTAGCACAGAGTAAATCCAGAATTAAAATAAAAATCTCAGCATATGATTATATTCCTGTTTTTATTTCTAAATGTGAATTTTTAAAAATTATCTTTGCTGGAGTTTTTTTTTGGGGGGGGTCTTCTTAAAGAATCGGCTTATAGATTTATCAATTCTGGTATTTTTAATTCTTTAATTTCTACATTTACCTATTTCCTTTCTCTTATGGATCTCTAGCTACTTGGGTCTAATGTTTAAATCATCTATGTCTACTCTAATTTATTTACTTCCGTAGTTTAATGATTACTTTTCCTGTGTGTGCAGCTTTGGCCTTATTCCGTAAGTTGTTGCACATAGTCCCACACTATGAACAATTACTAAGCAGTCTACAATGTGCTGCCAATTTCCATTCTAACCAGCATTCACACAGTAATAGTCTCCCACCAACTAGAGTTCTGTTTTTAACAAACTTGTCATTCATTTCTAGTCTTATACTAAAGCACTAGGAAATAACTAAACATCCAAAAGTGATGTTTTATACAAACTGGTACCGATTCTATTTTGACATTTAACCTAAAGAAACACAGTAGAACCAAGATAAATTCTTCAACAGGATCATATATGCATTTTTCAAGATTTTTGCTTTGTTTCCCATTCAAAGCTTTTATAAATGTATACTGAACTATGTTCCATGCATCATCTATGCAAAGAAAAAACTCACAATAAACACAGTAAGGTTAAACACATTAAACTGTAGCCGTAAGCCTGTAAACACAGTATTTGATTAACTAGTGTCTAGAATTCAGCTTGCAGGCAGTGGTGATCAAACATAATTCACAACAGAAGGCCCAATCCAACCCTGCTGACTTTTTTCCTAAGAGGTCACCCTGACTCATAACTCAGTGCAAAGACCAGGATGCTTCAGTGACTTTGGACCCTGGTATTAGAGCTTAAAAATGTATTAAACAAGGTATAAAACAGAATGTTGGTTAATTATTTCCAACATGAGGATAAAAGCCAAACACTGACTGCTATCCCCACCCTGTCCCGAAGGCCCCGAAGTGGCAGACACCTGATTCGATCACTCGTGCCGCTGTAACCCCAACGACTCTCCACTTGCTGGAATCTGTTGATGCAGCATTCCTTTCCTCTGAGGCAGCATCTTGGTCGGTCAATGTATTCAACTCGGGGTTTAGGATTGACAGTAAAATGAAGAAAGAGGTTCACTACTTCACGATCTGACAAAATTCCAGACTGAGCAGGACCTATGGAAATAAAAGTAGAAACCTCAATAGAAACAATTTGATCTCAATTCCTTACTTTGTAATGCTCCGTTTAACAATGTGAATTCAAATCTAGATGTAAATAAGGACAGGGGAAAAAATTTCAGCCATACACACACACACACACACACACACACACATATATGAGAAATTTTTTTTAATGACAGAGAGCATGTGTTCATAGAAGAGAGGCAGACACAGAGAGAAGCATCATCCACAGGGTCTCATTATGCCACAACGCCCTTCTCCCCAGCCCTCCTGCTTCTTGGGGTCCCAGGCACTCACAGGCGTACCCCACACGTTTTCAAGCTAACCCAGGGACCTGAGCCTGCAGTGACCCGTATTGCTTCCAACCTTGTCAGGAACACATACCAGCACCTGCGATCCTGGCTGGCTAGAAGACTGGGTAAGACACACTGCCGAGGAGACAGAGTGCGACCAGGCCTTGTCAAGGGTACCTGGCTGTCTCTTTCTCTCTCATCAAAAAAATTTTTAAAAAGTTTATATAAAAAAATTAATTATTTACTTAATCTTATTCATTATTATCATTTATTTTTTTAAATTTGACCAGAGAGAGAGAAAGGGAAAGTGAGAAAGCCAGGTCTGGGACTGAAATGGTCAGCCATGTGGGAGTCCAGCATGTTAACCACCACACCACCTGCTAAGCTGGAATAAATCAGTAAGAAAAATATGAACATGAAATAAGTGCATGATGAACATAATAAACTAGGGAGCTGACACTTGCTGTGGTGGTTAAGGGCGCTGGACTCCCGTATGACTGACCAAGGTTCGAGTCCTGGACCTTGCGGCTTGCTTTCTCTCTCTCTTTCTCCACCCCCCACTCTGTCCCTCTCTGGTCAAATTAAAAATAAGTTAAATAAAATAATTCTTTTAAAAAAAGGAAAAAATATGATAAACTAGTAAGAAAAACTTGAATACCCCAACAGAACAAAAAACATGAATATATTAGGAAAAAAATACAAATGGACAGTAAGCATAAAAAATAATCACACAAATTTCTTTTTTATTTTATTTAAAAAATTTTTTTAGAGGTTTTTGCTATAAGGCACGTGCACTCGCCAGACAGACAGAGAGAGACAGAGAGACAGAAAGTGAGAAATCACCCCCCAGGGGGGATGGCCATGCCACAATCCCTTCTCTCCTTTCTCCTCTCGGGATCTTGGGCACGCACGCACATGCACCCGGCCTGAGTTTTAAGTCACCGGGTCTGGGACTCGAACCACGGTTGACTACATGGGAGTCCAGCGACATAGCCATTACGCTAACTGCTGGTCCCAAACAAATTTCTTTTTTAAAGAGTTTTTCTATAGGCATGTGTGCTTGCCAAAGAAACAGAGACAGGAAGACAGAAAGCGAGAAATCACCCTCCCAGGGAGATGGCCACGCTGTAATCCCTTCTCCCCCATTCCTTTCTCAGGATCTTGGGCATGCGGGTGCATGTTCCCAGACAGAGGGTTTTTCTTTTTTAAAGAATTATTTTATTTACTTTATCTTTACTTAATAATAATATTATTTATTATATTATTATAATAAGAATTAATGTCATTCATTATTATTAAGAGAACAAGAGAGAGGGAAAGTGAGAAAGCAAGCCACCAGGTCCAGGACTCGAACTGTAGTCAGCCATGTGGGAGTCCAGCACCCTTAATCACCACTCAGTCCCCCTGGCCTGAGTTTTAAGTCACAGGGTCCAGGGACTCAAACCACTACATGGGAGTCCAGTGACGTAACCATCACGCCATCTGCTGGTTCCCAATTTATTTTCTTTTTAACCTGGCCAGGATTTATTGATAAAAGCAGGTTAATACTCAATAATGATATGGTTTATCAGAACTGGTCACAGCTGGTCATAACTGGTCAAAGACCTAAGATTCAATATCAGGTCTGTCTGATTTTAATCAGAAACATTAACCTTAAGAGTCAAAAAATATTTATCTATTATAACCTTGGGCAAGACACTACTAACCTGTCCCAAGTTAATGATGTGGTTAATGAGAACTAGTGACAGCTGGTGATAACTTTCAACTCTCTTGAGATTCAATAGCAGGTCTGTCTGATATTAATCAATAGCATCACCTAGTCAAAAAAGTTCTATAACAACCTTGGGCAAGGCACTTACCCTGTTCTGGGTTCACTTCTCTAACATGCAAAATGTAGGAAATATCTTGAATAGGGGCCAGCAGGTGGCATGGTGGTTAAGG